CATCTTATCCTTTGAGTAACAAAAGAAGCAACCTTCCTTTTGAAATTGTGCATACCGATGTTTGGGGGCCATATCATACTCCCACTATGGGGGGGTGGGTACAGATATTTCTTGTTATTTGTTGATGATTATACCCGCTTCTCATGGGTTTACCTTGTGCACTTTCGAGATGATGTCCATTCTCTGACCCAAGCTTTCCATCAGATGGTTCTAACTCAATTTGAAATCAAGATCAAAATTCTTAGATCCGATAATGCCAAGGAATATTTTGCAAAACCCTTGGCATCCTATCTCTTTGATCATGGGGTCATTCATCAAAGCACCTGTCCTTGTACACCTCAGCAAAATGGGGTTGCTGAGAGAAAGAATAGACATATCTTAGAGGTAGCCAGAAGCATCATGCTCAACTCTAATGTTCCCATACTTTTCTGGGGGGATGCAATCCGTACAGCCGTTTACCTTATTAACAGGGTTCCTTCACGGGTTCTAAACATGCAAACACCATTCAGCTTTTTGTATCTAGATAAGGACCTGTTCACTATTCCCCTCAAAACTTTTGGGTGTATTTGTTTTGTTCAAATCCTTGGACCTCATCGCTCCAAGTTTGACCCCAAAGCTACTAAGTGTATTTTCCTTGGATATGCACAAAATCGAAAAGGATATTGCTGTTATGAGCCTGTTTCAGGGAAACGTTTTGTGTCCATGGATGCCACCTTTTTTGAGGATATGCCCTACTATTATAGGGCTTCTCCTCAAGGGGAGAATGGTGAGGAAGGGATTTAAGTTTTAGCCCCAGTTTCACCCTAAAAGGGCCTTTACCTGTCCCAGTTACTAAGGGGAGTGTCGTGAAGAGGGTTGTCAAAAGTTCAGGGAGTTGAGGGTATATCACAGAAAGTGGAGGCAAGTTGATTCCCGTCCTCAACAACAATCCGGGTCAATCCCAACATCTTCTACGACCCCAGATCCAAACACTACCACTGCTCCTACTGTTGAGCCCACTATTACTGATGCTCCTCCACCGTCAGATGACCTTGATCTTCCAATTGCAATTCGTAAAGGGAAGTGTCATTGCACCTCATCCACTACCCATTGTATCTCCAAGTTCCTTTCCTATGATTGTCTCTCAAAATCCTATAGATCTTACATGGCATCTATTACTACTATTCCTATACCTAGAAAAGTGCAAGAAGCTCTTTTGATACCTGAGTGGCAATGGAAAGCAGAGATAGATGCTCTTGTTAAGAACAACACATGGGAACTAGTTAACTAGCCTGAAATGACACTATCAGAGTCCTACTGTCCATTTCTGCAAACTTTTCATGGCCACTAATTCAGCTAGATGTTAAGAATGCTTTCCTCAACGGAGACTTGCAAGAAGAGGTATACATGGAGTTACCCCCTGGCTTTTATAGTATAGAAGAAGGAAAGAAAGTTTGCTTACTAAAGAAGGCTTTCTATGGGTTGAAACAATCGCCGAGAGCTTGGTTTGATAGGTTTAGACTGGCTTTGGACAAATTCGGCTATATACAGGCTCAGTTGAATCACACTCTCTTCTTTAAGAAGACAGGTCTTTCCCTGACCCTACTTGCAGTCTATGTAGATGACATTGTGATAACAGGAAGTGATATTAGTGAGATTGAATCTCTTAAACAACACCTTCACAAGGAATTTGAAGTGGACTTAGGGGATTTGCACTATTATCTGGGAATTGAGGTAGCTCGATCTAAGCATGGAATTTTTATCTCTCAGAGGAAGTATGTTCCTAACTTATTGGAGGAAACTGGAAAGTTAGGAGTGAAACCAGCTGACACACCTATTGAGCTTAACCATAAAATAAGTGCAGAAAGTGGAGAACCTCTTGAGGACAAGGCTATGTACCAAAGGCTTGTTGGGAAACTTCTTTATCTCTGCCTAACTTGGCCAGATATTTCATATGTTGTTAGTGTTGTTAGCCAATACATGCATTCTCCTAGGACCACTCACCTCCTTGTAGTGGAAAGGATTCTTGCCTACTTGAAGAGATGCCCAAGGAGAGGCATACTCTTCAAGAATAATGATCACATGAAGATAGAAGTGTATACAGATGCGGATTGGGCAAGATGTGTTGATGACAGGAGGTCTACCTCTGGATATTGTGCATTTGTGGGGGGAAATCTTGTTTCCTAGAGAAGTAAGAAACAGAATGTCGTTGCTCGCTCTAGTGCAGAAGCTGAATACAGATCCATGGCCAATGGTGTTGCAGAAGTATTGTGGCTGAGATCCTTGCTTAATGAGCTGGAAATTGATTATGAGAAGCCTCTAATGTTGTACTGCAATAATCAAGCTGCAATTAAGATTGCCCACAACTCAATATAGCATGACAAGACAAAGCATATCGAGGTGGACAAACATTTTATCCGAGAGCGAGTTGCATCTCAAGAAGTATGTCTTCCTTACATTGCCTCAGACATGCAATTAGCCGATCTCCTTACTAAAGCAGTCACAAAGAGCTAGCTAGAGACAGATTCACGCAAGTTGGGAATGACAAACATCTACTCCCAACTTGAGGGGGAGTGTAGAGATAGTTACTAGTGTGTGTGGTTCCAACCCCACACTACTGAAGAGATAGTTTTAGTCGGGTCGGCTGGGCCTTGTTTCTGTTTATCTTTTTTATTTTGTATTGGAAACTTGGAGTTTAAGTAGGGGTATTAGAGTAACTCCTACTATTGTAAGGAAATTAATGTTTATAAATAACAATTAAATGGGGCGGTAGATATACACAACCGAACCCCTTCTTTCTTTCTCTCTTTTATTTTCTCTCTCTCTCTTCTTCTCTTCGAACTTGTGTTTCTTTTCTTAAATTACATCAGTCCACAACAGTATTCTATTTGTTTTATTCAAGTGACATCATTCACTTAGGACAGTCCTCCCACCATTCTTGATGGTCAGAAATTCCTGGGCCCAATTACAACGTTTTCCCCCAAAGCAATATTTATGTTCCTGACTAGTGAGGAGCACCAAGGTAGGCTAACATTATAAAGCATGCCAAATGAACTGTGGTTTGAATATTATTAAATTGCATCCATAGAACACTAGTACTGCAAAGATTTCTTTGGTCAGGCAACTGATTAATCACCCTTTCATGAATGGATTCCATTCATTCATTCCTCAATTTTTTCTTGCTTAGATTAAGAACGTTTTTTTAACTGTCAATAAGAAACTTAACGATGGCATTCATCCAAAGAGTTACAAAAGAAACTAATCCAGAGAATACATGTTTCCAAGCTAAAATTTTCAACAGGTTGAAACCATAAAAAAAATGTAGATGGTATAATTAGTCAGGTTATCATGGATTTGTACTACACTTTCCCGCCATACAAATTCTGCAAAAGTGATAAAAGAAACGAACACGCCAAGCTGCTCTGATCCACAAAATCAAACAATTTAAATTGAAAGGGTAATGAAGAACCATTCCCCACTACAAAATTCCAACTTAAATATCTTAAACAAGAAAAAAAAAGATTCAATCCAGATAACAAATAAGAGATAGACGACTAGAGCCAGACTAAATTTGCAATTTTGAAATCCAATGCACTTCAACTGACCTTGATCGACTCCCACCAACTCCATCTTCATCGTCACTGTCATTCACATCTGAATCAGAATCCCTCATTCCATCCTCAGGATTCCGATTCCTCTGTATATTCCTCCTCCTATATTCCATCCACACTAACACCACATGAACCAAACACTGTAGCACATATCCACACACCCAAATCCTAATCGGCGTATTCGGTCGCTCTCTTGCAGTGCAAATAAGCATCACAATTGCCACAATAGTGAACGCCAGATTCCAAGCAATATCAAGAGCCACCACAGGCTTCGAATACCCCCAATCCGCCCGTCGCTCCTCGAGCTGAAGCGCCGCTGTCTCCCGTACCAGCATCGACGGCCCCCGCCGGCCAGCCGCTCGCCCCAGCAGCAAAGCAAGCGTAGCGGGCCGAGCGGCGTTCAACTCCGGTGTCCCCTGCCTCGGCCGTAGCAAAGGCGCAGAGGAGTCGGTGGTGGTGGTTGATGCCTCCGCCATTACTAGTACGGACAGTTGCAGAGAAGAAATTGAATAGAATCCGAAGACGAAGATGAAACCAATATCATTATTAGGGTTCAGGAACTGTTTGGGCTTATATTTCTCTCTCCCTCTCTATATAATCCTCTCTGTGTCTCTCACTCTCTCTCCAAGACTCCAACTCTCTCTCTCTCTCTCTCTCTCTCTCTCTCTGTTTTGCTGCGTTGAAGGGTAGATGAGATGGAGGAGAATTAGTTTTGTATGTGTACTGTCGACGTGCTTCGATTTTCCATTTTTTTAACGCTTTCTCGAAATTCTTTTACCTGAATTTGTTTTCGAGCTTTGCTTTTGCCTTCAGTTTGTTTGACTCGTCGGTTGTGCTTTGCCTACTTCAGCGGGGAAGATTAAGCTGTTTCAAGAATTGATAGATATGACCGGTATTAACTGTTGGATGCGAATATAGACTATGACGTGATTTGATGAACATCGTGTATTTGAACGGTGATGATTTTGTAGGACCCAGTAAATCCAGAGTAGAGCGGTAGGCTTTAGTCTCTATCCTCTTCTTCTGCTTTAAATGACGTTTGTGGAAGTGTGGGTTGTGTCTGAAACGGTAGCACACGTGTAATGTGACAAGGCAGAAACGATACAATCATAGACCGACATAGCCCAACACAGAAGCCCAGGTCCGGTATCAATTTTTCGGGCTTGGGCCTAGGTTCTGCGCTCAGGCAACGGACGCACTGGGTCTGGATCGAAGATTTTACATGGCTGCAAAAGGATAGGATAGAATTTGGTAGGATATATCCAAGGTTTTGGGTTACTGAGTCCATATGAGAGATTAAACTCAATTTTTTATTTTTCTTTACATATTTATATACTCGTGTTTGTCGAGTAAATTTAAGGTAGGAATTTTATGTAGTGTTTTCAACTGATTCAGCTGATTGACTGCTCAAATCGTAATTCGGTCAAAATTTTGGATACAGTTTGAGTAAAATCTGGAGGGAGGTTAAAAATTGTTGAATTCGTTAACAATCATTCGATTCGGATGATTGGACTGTTGATCCATTTGACTTATTGACTGGATCGTGTGTTGCATATTAAATGTGTATACAAAATTTGGAAGGTCATAACTTTGTACTCCAATATTTGATTGAAGTAATATTCTTTTTTTTTTATTATTTTGGATAACTTTTTGAGATGTATATGTCCCAAGTAAGGATATCAGTGAGTCGGGTTAAATGGTAAATCCTGTTTGACCTGACCCTATAGGATAGAGTTCGGGTTAATATATTTGGTTTTAGGATTTTGATTATTCAATTCAAATTGGGTTCGGGTTTTGGCTGACCTGCCCACCAGGTCATGATACCCTGCATATATACAATGTATTCTTGTAACTTTTTGACTTTTAACTCTATAGCTTTAAAGTTTAAGATTTATTTACTTATTGATTTTGATTTTTTTTTCTTTTTTTAATGGGAAAAGTGACATCAGCACACAAATTTAATGAAAGCATAATTAATGAGAAGTGGGATTATTGATAATCAAAGACAATAGCTCTCTAGTCATAAGTTGAACCAAAATCAGCCTAATGCAAATATGGGGAGCCAAAAATGACTATATTCGATTGGATTTTTATGGTGATTGAGTCATTGGGTTGAATGATTCATTTGTTCTGTTCAACTACTACATGAATGTAAGGAAAATTAATTAATTTGACCAAATGAACATTTTTTTTTAGAATCGAGCAGCCAATAAATCATTTTGGCTGCCAATTTATAGTTCTAATGGTCCAACTATCTAGTCCTATCCAAGGTTGACAAATTTGCCTAAGGCTGTCTTTGGTTTGATATAAAATAAGAGAGTAAGAAAGAGTTGAGGGATTTTATTAGTTTTGTTAAGAACATTTCCTCAACTCTCTATTTGATACAAGTATAAAAATATTAATTATATTATCGAGTTGACGCAGAATATCATATCATGTTAATAAACCTAATCATCTCTTATTCTCAAAGTTGGTCCTCCCAACTGGTGTAAATTAAATTTTCAATTATCCAAATTTTTAAAATCCTTTGGAAGAGCCTATTTTGTATCTTATCTTCCTTTTTTTTACAAGGAATTTGATAATGATAACAACATGATCCATATAGTTTTGGATTGAATAATACAGATCGGTGAGAGACATGTGTTGCCACATCACATACTTACAAGGCAAATATCTCAGTTGTCATTCATGGGGGAGATGTTCCCAATGCATGGCTGTAGTGTCTTGTGGATACATGTGGATAGACTTACCCCTTGGAGCAAGAAATGCCAAATTTACATTTCTACAAACACAATTCAGATATCCTATTCACACCTACCCACATGACACTACAGTTGTACAGGGAACATCTCTCCATAAATGGTAACATGCAAATACGGGATATTAATATTCTCAATGTACATCTGTGGTGAGGTGTGGGTAGGAGATCCGAATTGCTACAAACAACTTTCCACACATGCATCTTTAAGATGTCTATTACAAGTTTCAACTATCAATAGCCTCATATAACAGATGTATGGCAATTTGTATTGATAAACCCCAAGGCTCAGTTAGGAAGGAGTACAAATACAAATATGTAGAGTGCAAAACCTTGTATTTTGTATGTATTTATACTCTACATATTTGTATTTGTACTCCTTCCAAACTGAGCTCAAATATTTCTAAGTGGAAACGAAAATAGTACCAAATACAACCATGGTCTTACTTCTATCAAGTAGGTAGGTGTTCTCTAATATATATGAGTTTATTTTTTATAATTACAAAAACCAACTCCATATCAACAAAAACAATATAGGATTTTGCTAATGTGTTAGTTTTTTTTTATTTCAAAAAATATATAATCACATGAGAAAAACTTTGACTGCCCATGCTATACAGCTTGGGCTGTCAACAGGGCTCTCCCTATGTGACACATTAATTCACCTACTAATGCATCCAACACCAAAACTGTTTATAATTAGCAACTAAGGAGTCTGTCTGAAAAATGAACTAAGGTGTCATATAAGAAGAGCCCTGTTGACTGTTAGAATTTAGACAGCCTTTTTTTTCAAATCAAACATGCTGGCAGATGCCATCAGATTAGGCCCTGTTTGGTTCGTGGGAATAGGGGACTGGAATCAGAATCGGAATAGGCTATTCTGATTCCAACTGTTTGGTTGGATGGAATCAGAATCCGGTTCCCTCCTGCTGGAATGACATTCTCCCATTTGAGAAAATGGCCCCTCCCTTGGGAATAAAATCCTATTCTCATTCCTGTCTGAACCAAACGGGCTATCGGAATGGATCATTCCAATTCTGATTCCAGAGGATTTCGACTCTGATTCCAACTGCAAACCAAATGTACCCTTAGTTTTACGGGCTGTGAGACCAATCGTTTTGCTCCACAACAGCTATAGATGCAAGTGAGGGGTTGAGTGGTTGTGGGCTATATACATTTTATACATATAGCTGGTATGGAACAAAATGATTGATCCACAGCCCATAAATTAGCTAACAAATTTGGCTAATCCGTTTTCACTGACAAACACCCCTTAAGAATCCTCATATGGAATGCCTCTCATGGATGAAGTTTTTCCCTCTTTTAACTTCCTGGGTTGGCTTTCCATTTCTCACTCCTTCCGTTTTCTTTCCCAGACCATACATGTGCAACTTGAATTCTTTATTCCATGTAGACAAACATTTCACCTTGTTTCATTGATGTAAATTTAATACTTAGCCAGCTTGCCCCTTGCTGAGTTGGGTTTACAATTGTTGGGGAGTTGGGATCTTCTGCCAATAAAATACATTCTATCCCTCTACCAACATGATTTAACACCTCATTCCTCACCATGAGACTGGGACCCTGGGACCCACCATAAAAGTAGAACCTTCCATGTATGAAATGTGTGGTGTGAGATCTTATTGGTAAAGTTGTTGGAATATTTTTTTTGTTGGCAGGTGGTCCAGACTCCTCTTGTCCCATCAGATTAATTATTAAGACTAAAACTTAACAACGGTGAGCAGAAAGCTGGGTTTGGAATTTGTTAAATTTTCTACAGTCATACCAGCCATAAAATCAGATATAGGCTACTCTTTTGATGTGGGATCATCTCGTTGATTGGTTGGTATGAGAACATACTCATGCAGGCATACGCAGCAAAAACAAACCCGGCTGAACCATGCTATTTATTAATGTTAGGGGTGCACGGTCTGGAATTTGTTAAATTTTCAGTCAACCCAAACCCAATGTAGTTAAAATTCTTTAAATTGAACAATCCAATTTATAGTCCTAAAACCAAACATGACTTGATTAGGCAGCATGCATATATATATATATATATATACTTCAGTTCACTTAACGGTCAAATGGGTCATGGACCAATCAGAGTAGATTCATTAGAACGGGACAATACTTGCATTTAGAGAAGAGTAATGTGCTTTGATTTATACATCTATCTGGGTGGAAGCTTCTGCTGTTGTCTCCTTCATTAAAGCAATAGCAATTAAAGCCAATCTGTGCAAGAAATGCCGAAGGTTAGGCTTCAACATAGAGATCGAGTTTGATGATTTTGGTTAAAAACACTTGTTTTATTAATATATAAACATTTTACTGTTTGCTATCATGTAATATAAGCTTATATTGTCAAAAATGAAGTTGTTATTATCATAATTAATTGTAGATGTCAAATAATGGAAAAAAAAAAAGAAGAAGAATTATAGATTCAGATCCAATTATCTTATTGATTCAGTTCTGGGTCTATTTAATAATCGATTCTAGGCTGATTTACCTTGTCTCAAACCAGACCCATTAACAGCTCTGCATTCCTTATTTTAATTTACAGTTAAAAACTTAGTGTTTATAGGGACATTTTAACTGTAAAAAAAAGATGAAAGTCCTTAAATTAGGGAATGCCAAATGCAGCCTAAGTAGAATATAGGAATCAAAGAGTGATGGCCTTCTCAGCTTTAGTTCGGGACTCTTCCACGTGGAAAGAACAGTGACAATCAATATATTCCATCTGAAGAGACATGATTTCTGGATCAGAGCTTATCAACTATGTATGACCTACTAATCTTCCCAGACCCACCTAACTTGAATTATTATATTTACTGGGCTTAGTGGGCCTGCCCAATAAATCCTTTTCCGTTCAATTTCTGACAATACAACTAGGCCTCGAACTCAAGCCAAACAAAATTGGCAAATTTACTTTTGAATATGAACAGAGGTAATTGAACAACTCTTATTCATCGAGTAGTAATAAATTCAAGACTGAGCTTCGCATCTCCAAGAGTCCAAGGCTTGAATTTTGAAA